GAATTGCGGCACATTACACTCGACCTTTAGTAGACAACCAGATATCACGGCGGCGCCACATACGGCGTAAGTTGGAAAGCCAGTCGAGCCTTTTGTATACGTCCTGAGATTTCGCTGGTCACTGATCCATCACAGCTGACCCACCTACTAAGATAAGTGGAGTGATCAATGTGCCCAATAGCTCCCTATTCTTAGCGGGGCGCGACAATAGACCATTAGTGGAGCAACAATTGCATTTGGGTGGCGATAAATACGCATCCCAAACATTTTGGAACTGCTACTTAAGGTGTCAAGAAGACTCGGTATCTTGTCACAGCCTTCACTTAGCAAGACTATGTTATCTGCGCACTCTAGATCGAACTAAGATTCAGTTGTGATAAGCCAGATGAAGACAGGGAGAACTCCATAAGAACGCCTATGGCAAAGTAGAATAGGAATGAAGGTGGACATGCCTGACTAACACTACTTGACGTTCACAACCCTATCTCAGAGTAGAGAGCATTCAACAAAGTGATATAAAATGTAGCTGAAACCCCTTTCAGTGAGACTCAATGTCATAAGACCTAGGGATTGATGGAGTTGAATGCTGGCTTCAGGTCGAGTTAAACAGCAAGTGTCGGGCGTCAGTGTGTGCCTATGTTCTATCATCTGGTGAAGTGTGGATATGTAGTCAATACACCCATGGCCAGATCTGAAGCCAACCTGGTCCTCTCGGGCCTGCTGTTTTCAAGCTCCATTTAGACGATGTCTCTTGATTAAAGAACCTAGGATCTTAGGCACTATGTTTGTCAGACTGATTCCCTGTTGTTTTCACAAGAGGAATTGTCACCTTTATTGAAGACTGGGACAATCAGTGATTGAGGCCAGTCAGAATTTGGTCGACAATTCTATACTAATAGGCTGACAAAATGTAGGGTCTCGTGAACGCGTTGAACAGAAATATGAATGCATTTGGCATGAGTCTCGCACCTGTCAAATGTGAGTGGATGCTCCAAGACTGGTCTACAACTACTCTCAGTTTAATGCTAGGGAGTAAAGTGGTGTAGTGTGTCGACCACTTTACTTACTTGGAGAGTCGCATCAGCCCGAATGGGCTGGTTGCTGACCAGATTTCAGTCCCAATGCAGAGGACTCGGTTCGCATTTGCCAACTTGCTTCATCTCTGCCACTGACTGCCAAGATATGTGACTACCTATTAATGGGCCAGTATACTGAGCTGCGTTATGTCCTGTTATATGGCTGTTAGATATGGCAGTTAGAAATAGAAGATATAAGTTGTTACAAGTTTTTGATCACAGATATCTTCGTAGCGTTGCTGGCTTGGATATGTATTGAGCATGCTGAACTACCGCCTACATTAACGTGCCATACTAGGGGAAGCTAGATTAGGATGGAAAAGGGTTTAGGGTGGTCAGACTACGACGTGGCACCAATGCATGAAATCTCAGACTGCTGGTTTGAGTCATACGGGAAACTGTGGATTCTTGGTGACATAGATAGAAATCAATCACGATGGCGCAGATGCATTCACTCTTAGGCATTTTATAAAGTCTGAATATTTGCACTAACCATCTGCACACTGTTTATTCTCTCACACATTAACTGCTTTGATATCAGTCTTCTATTCACCTGTTCTTTGTGTACTTCTGTAAAATGTGGTGACTTGGACCGATGCGCTTATGTGTGAGGTTCTACGTTGATTTTGTGTCTACCACCGCCCTTAAACACCTGTAGTACATTCAACCCTGCCATTCTTCCTCGTTTCACTTTACCTACAATCTTATCGACTTCTTTAAGTGTTGGGGATCCTATCTCTACGTTCCATTCGGGATTTAACTGAATAGTAGACCAATAGGACTATTCCTCCAAGTGTTCTGCTCATCGTTCCAGATGTCTATCCTGCAAGTGAATCACAGACCAATCTTTCCCCTTCATTGTCTCACTATCCACTGACCCATCTGCTGAAGTCTAAATAACTGTCCACTGCTACCTATAGATGTTGCCTTCCCTACTTATTTAGCCTTCGTTGTCCACCAGTGTTGGTGGTCATTACGTAGATTTCCCGTCACTCTACGTTTGAGTTGCAATCGCTCATCATTGGTTTCGGAGCTTGTAGCGATGCGTTCGCGTGCATCCAATAATTTAAAAGAGGTTGCTGAGATCCACTGGCCCTTTCTAACCTCCTTCCGAGTGCCAGCTACAGTTTCAACACCATCAAGTATATGCCCCAAAATCCTAGAAAACCAAGTGTGGTTGGACCCATGTAAGTGTTCCTTTGCCTCTGTGGTCAAGCTAAAACTATCCAGTTCCCCTTCCAGGCAGCTCAAAAAGGCCTACACTGAGAAGTTTCAGTTGGCCTCAGAACTCTGTCAACACAAAAGTTAGTGAATAAAGTGGTCTAATGCGTTGATCACTTCGCTTAGGAAATGGTATCAACCTAAATACCTTATTTTTTAAAGAAATTCCAGCTTAGATACAAATAGGCCATTGAGCATTTGCTAGCCAGCCTAAGCCATTTACTGCACCCAGAAGATATCCAACTACATACCAAAGTATGAGTATACCGTGCAGCATTCCACTCTTTTCCAGTATCAAGCTGTTATACCTAGCCACCGAAAGTAGATATTAGAAGCTACAGTTTTCTGAACAAAGATATATTCTTAGCACTACTCGAGTGTGATGAAACGCCATGTGCACAACGCCAAGGTTGTGTAGGATACTAGGCAAGTTAGTCTTTGAGGTTGTGAATTTTTACCGTGTGAGGTGGCTTGCACATGCCGAGTAATGTAAGCGAAAATAAGATTAGAAGGCCATAGGGGCTGGAACAACATTAGGCATCAGTTCTTTGACTCGATCTGAGCAGAGTAGGTAGACGGAAACTGTGCCTGGGGTTCTACAGAGAATAGAAATGGTTGTTTAGTTGGTTCTCGATGAAATGGACGACAATCACAATGATCCAGATGTACATCTTTAAAAGTGTGATCAATATTTTCCTTAGTTCTTTACTCTTTCACACACTTTTTATGTTTTAATGTCACTTTTTTCGTATCCACTTGTTCTTTGCATGATGCAGTGAGACATGGAGACTTCAACCAATGTACTTCTCTGCCAGGTTTTACACTGATTTTTCTACCAGTTGTTCAATTGTTCTACCATTCTCCATTGATTAGAGACAAGATGTGCAGGCTATTCTATCAGTTGTTGTACCGAGTACCGTTTAACGACAATAGTGTAAGGTCAGTAATGTAAAGAGTTGATCATTCGATTAAGTAGCCATGTGAAATGGAGAGTAGTTGTATTGAACCATTATCTATTGTTGTATTCTAAAACCCTAGATAGTGAATCAACTAATCAAGATATCTTCACACGTGGTTAAAGGTCGAAGTCAGTAGCATGAACCCAGCGGTATTTCTTGATCTTCTATTTTTTGAGCGGTAACATGAAACAACAAAAACGTGTTGAACGCACCTTATATAGATGCTTTTCTGTGGAACTGTGTTCCAATGATTTCAGCTTATACCAGCAAGTAATAGATTTGAAACCTGACTCATTTATCAAATTCGGCGCAGTTATGCAGTATTATTAGTTCCCACATAACAATTGATTCGTGAGCCTGAAAGTTATTGATGGGTTGAATTTACAGTACAGAACCTCTTCTAGTCATTATATTGTACCCGATTTCCAGCTTTTTTCTTCGTTTGATAATTTTGTCATACAAATCTGTATTTGGTTAACAAGTCATGTTCTCTGGCTCATATATGGTTACTGACAAAACTTTACCCAGAATAATAGCTACTTCATACTTTGTGCGATAATCAGCAAAAGTACTTAAGAGGACAAACTGTGTAATCGTGTCATTTGCTATAGAAGTATACGCCACCTTTTATTACAACCTGAAGCACTACAGTGAAGATACTTCAGGAAGCCCCAAATACCAGGAATGGTTCATGACCAATCAGACTGCTTCCGAAATGTCACAGGTCATAAGTGCTATAAAGATAAAATCAATAGCGAACGTCATTCTGCATATGCATAAGGTTTTGATTTGCCTGCAGTGTGTACACAGAAGGTGGTGTCTTTTAGTTTTCTAACCAATTTTTTACCGTATTTATGAATAATTTACCTATTTAGCTACATCTTTACTCTTTACATAAAATGCGTTCATACAGAGTATATAAAAGGATGAATTTCGGGTTCAAAAATTAAGTGAACTTTTGTTGCAGTTTTCATTTAGACTACTTCACTATTCTTTATCATCAAAATAAATTTCGATGTTAGTTTTTCTGTATCGTTACACATCATTATTCCTTCTTTTTATGAAGATTCTCTTCGCTGTGCTACACTGCACTAAGCTTTTTCTGCATTGAACATGCAATACAAAGAATTATTGAGTTGCGCTCTTAGCACTGTTGAGAAATGAGAACTAAACTTTTTAAGAGGATTATATATATATATATATATATATATATATATATATATATATATATATATATATATATATATAATCTCACTAACGCAACAGTGGACCCCCTTGTGCATTGCATTTGTGGAAAAAACGATAACTTCGTAGCTTGACTCACGTTATTGGTGTCAGTAGTGATATACCACAGAAATGTGTCCAAATATACTGATTGTAAAGCAGTGTAAATGAAATGCACTCAGCAACTACATGCTTACTTGTGCAGAAGGCTAAGAAACACACCTATTGAGTGAGGACTAATGACACGGCCTGGTTGCTCAGATCTCGGTAGATGGAAGGGGGTTTGAACCTGCGATACATCGTTTGGAAGTCGAGAACCTAAACCAATGGGCCATAACTCCACAAAGAAGTGTACGGAACACACACCAAGAGAATTTCGTACAAAAGAAGTTATTGATTTTCAACAGGGTATTAAGGCACTTGAAATCAACCAACAAATACACGGTTTTCGGAGATATCCTATTCAAATAAATAATTGCTTCGTTTATAGGTATATAACAATGACACAAAATGAGCTTACCAATTGCCGTAGCTCACTTAGAATATCCAGGTAAGGGAGACCGGGCTTTACCATTATAAACTCAGCCCCTTCATTTGCATCTCGAATCTGAATTTGAGAGATAATAATTGTATTATAAGACGGTGGATGCAAATTTAAAAAATGGTTGTCTTAGAAGAGCTTATGACAGTAGTATGGACTGAAATTAATCCCCAAAATATTCAGTGATAACTTGACTAGAAGTGGATGAACATGAGAATCTGAAGTGGTAAAAGAACGTCTTCAGATGAATATCCGACGGAATCTTAGCCAGTGTGAAATCTTCAAAAAGACAAGTACTGAGTCACCTTAAATTATTTCAATCACACAACCGGATTGAAATTGAACAAATCGAAAAGGGACGAGAATTTATTCAAAAGAATATTCAACGTTCAGTTTGTCTTTAAGTGTTGAGAATGTTTAACAATATAAACCACTTTGGACTCCACCTTAAATTGAGCAATAACAAGGTTAGTCGTACGATGCCAATAGATGCTAGAGGTTTGATTACGGTCATAGTAATTCTGTTTTATATTCTTCAAATGTGAATGACATTTACAGATTAGCATATTAACCTGCACCATTAGAGTTCCATTTGATTTTATTCAAGCATATGCTTGTTTCAGCTGGCACACAGTTGAAGAAAATAATTACTGCTTAAATATGAATAAAACCGGAAGTTAAAATAAAACCTGGTCGGTAACTGGATCTCGTAACTCAGTTGGTGAAATGCCAAGCCAGTAACCAGATCACCGGATCCAATCTTACAGCGACCCAGGTTTTTATTTTACCTCCAATTACCAACCAGTATTAAAAAAAATGTTTGAACCTATTTGATCAATAATATTTACTTAAATTTGTATTAATATACTGCAATAACTTGCATACACAACTATTCATACTGGTAAACATAATAATGAGTTTAATTTAAAAATTGGCACAAGTGCAGAAAAACCAACATATACACGTGATTGCATTGTAAGAAATGCAATACACTCAAGTGTTTTTCGCACCATCGATTTTTAGACATGACATGTCTCAAACATCTGTGTAGAAAGAAAACGCACGAAAATTTGTCTAACCATTGTGATTACCAACCAAATCAGCAGTATCTTAACTTGAAAAACATTGTTTTTAAGGAGCGTCACTAGAGGTTTATATTTACTATTAGACACTGGTACACCGAGATGGATGCAGTTTGATGAGGAAAAGTTAAGAGATTGTATACATAAAAAGATTACGACAATTACTTATGAAGGGACCAAGTTTTCAATGACTGTAGGCTTCCCGAATAAGGTCTAAACGAAAAAAATTTATTTAAGCAGGTATCAAGGTTTCTTTCATCACTAATTTTGTATACATATATTTACATCCTTTTAGTTTTGTTGATTTCCCCACTTTGGAATAGTAGAAAGCATGAAAACATTCACGCGGTTCTGCATTGTTGTCTATCAGCGTGACAGCCTAAAATTGATGTCAATGGAGCAAACACATTTGTACATTGTGTTGTTAACAGTACTGAAAAGCTAACTAATCTATAGCTATATACTTTAAGTTGGGTTAAAACACTTAGCTTTTTCCTACTTCACCAATGTCGTTACTGTTAGTTTCGTGGCGCTTTTCATTGATGATCTCCCGTTTCGTTTATAGCCAAAAGTAAGACATTACTGTGTCCAATCCTATATTGTTAACTTTTTATATCCAACTTATGAGACCTACAACAACCTGAAACTCAGTGCAGAAAATACAACGATAATAAGACAGATCACTCCTGATTGAATGCTACGTCACTGAAAATTTTTAACCTAAGTGTACTAGTGTTCAGTGATAACCGAAATCAGAATTTTGTTTAAATGAACTGGAAAGTTGCAATTCAAGTATTAAGAAACTTACATTTCTACGACATGTTTCAGGCTATAGTCTTACAACAAACCTATGTTAAGAAGCCCTAGATCTGGTCTTATGTGCTCGCTGGCAACCATCAGCAGGACACATAAGCAACCATGGAGAGATTGGTGTCCTTATCGTTTTTGACCAATATCGCTTAGTGACAACGTTAAAGAATTTATCAATAGGCTGTTCCGATCACAGCTGACTCGTGTAATACTGAATTGTATTTGATGCTAGTGTTCTCTGAGCTGGATGATTTGATTGTGAAGCTCTCATTGTCATTCTAGACATCATGAGAACAAACTTCAGAAGAAAGTGAATTATAGGGTTTTCTCCACAAGTCACTTAGTACCTTGTCCTGATGGCCTTGTGTGTGATTGCCAAAGTCTTGTCATTGTCTCCATATTTGTTTCGATTGGTTATCCCACTGACATGAACTCTGACCTTCCTGTTTTTTCTGATTCGTTGATAGGCTGAGTGAACGTCAGTATGTCTGTTGATCACTGACTGACCTGAATCCCAAGCTTCTAAAAATTCTCTGGCATTCTCTGTATTTTCAATGTCAAAGGTTCCCACATTTCCCCAATCAAATTCGTGTCCACAATTTTCTGTATGCATTCATATGAACGAAGACATGTTATGAATCTTCACCATTGAACACATAGTCAAATAAACACAGAAATACGTTATACAACTAGTTTACACCTGTATTTACCCGAAAAGAAATTCAACTCAGGAACCACATGCACTTTCATGCAGTAGGCAATAAGAGACATCTAATATGTAAGGGCTAATGATACTTCCTTGCTGCCCAAAGTACTAGTGTGTTAAATAAAACTTACAGCAGCACGAAGAGCCAATCCCTTAGCACCTGGGGAAGCTGGTAGTGACGGCGGTCTCCAAAAGAAGGAGCAGACTGAGCAGCATCTCTGGGAAAAAGAAATATGATGTAAAAGACTTCAACACAATAGTAAAATCATTTTTTCGGGAACATATTATACTGGTAAAACGCTACAACATGAGAAGTCACACAATACGTGGGGTTGTGTTGCCACTTCGCCAAAATAAACCAAAGCAGTTCTACTAGCCAGTGCAGTCGTTCCTAGGTGGAATCGAGGTTCAAATGAGACAAAGACATACTCAGTGATCGATTAAAGGTGATATGGTCACCTGCTACGGCAGATTCGCTGAGGAAAAAGTAATTACACGAAAACAATGAGATTGAAGGTTGCTTCTTTAAATCCAACCAGCCGCAGCTGATTCAGAAGTAAACGGTTGGAGTATCTACCTAATCAAGCAAAAAATGAAAGTGTATCATACAACTTTTACGTAATACATCGATAATGCTCTCGGAAAAAAAGAATGGCAAATACTGAAACATAAACCAGTCAACCGGAAAAGAGTTTAAAGTGACAAATATTAAGGAGGGTAGAATGGAAGAACTATACAGAGCAATCTAGAAACCCGAAAATGAGGAGAACAAGTCAGTAAGTGCAACCAAACAATTAAGAAATTAATGTACTTACTACTCTCAGATTTACTTACTATTGAGTTGTTTGGTGACAACGCTGCGATCGTTTAGAAAATAATCCCGCTTTTAAGGGCTAGTGTTGCAACACACTCACCAAAGAGTATCCAGAAGTAAATCTACGGAAACACCTAACTTTTGTGTTTTACCGAAACTGGAACTATTTGGGCCAACATTGCGCGATGAGGTAGACCCGATAGGTACATCTACGACAAAATCAGACAACTGACAGTGAGCATCCTTGCCGGATACCACTCGATGAACACTACTCACCTGATAACTCACCATGGGCTCTAACATCCCACCGTTGTGTGAATACAATGTCTTCTTCAATAGGGTGATGTACGCAACCACATCTTGCAGTGAGAGACAATGCCATAAGACCAGTCGATCAACAGAGTCGATACCGTCTTCGGGTTAAGTAACACAACTAGTGACGAGTACTGGTATGTCTGTATTCCTGGACGTGTGGGGAAGAGAGTTCCTAGTTGAAACACCACGACCAGACCTGAAACCTGTGTTTTTCTTCGGTTGGCTGTTCCCGGGCTTCACATAGGCTTCTATTGACGACGAAACCTAGAATCTTAGACATTATGTATATCAGATGTGATCACTAAAAAATAGGAAGTTATTTACTCCACAGAAAAGTTGATGGCCTAACAACAACCGCTTATTATTATTATTATTATTATTACTAGTCCCTTGCGTTCCTAATGGAACATAGGGCTTCAGTAGCACGTCTCCAGTGATCTCTGTTCGCCGAAATCTCTTCAACCTGGCTCCACGACAGTCCACAAGCTCTCATTTCCTCCTCGCACGATCTCCTCCATGTCACCCTCAGCTAGGACGCTCAACTCGTCGCTTCCCATCGGCGTTCCACTCGAGCAACTGGCCTGACGCGTGATGTCCCCAGTCGGCTTTCTCAGTGTATGCCCAATCCATCTCCACTTCCTTCCAGTGCATATTTGTTGGGTGATAGGTTCTTGGTTGGTTCGTTCCCAGCCAGAGTTCCTTGTTGCTTATTCTTATCATTCTGGCCATCTGATCTTCAGTAACAGGCCAGCGCAGGCAGTTGTTGATGAATGTCTGTAGTTTATTGGAAATCCCTTTCGTAACGCGCCAAGTCTCTGAACCATATAGAAGCACTGACTTGACGTTAGTGTTGAAAATCAGCATCTTGTTCCACATGCTGAGTGCAGAAGATCTCCACACTGATTTCAGGTTAATGATCGCCTGTCTTGCTTGTCCAATCCTGGCTGGCTGACATCCTCGTCTGTCCCGCCTGTAGTTGAAACACTGCTGCCTAGATAGGTGAAGGAGGTTACTTCATTTTAGTTTCGTCCATTGATGGTGATTGGAGTTTGTTGTTGTTGTTGGAGTTGTTGGTGTGGTATCTTCATCACCTCTGTCTTCTCTATATTCACCTGAAGTCCCGTCTTCCCTCCCTGCCTCTTCTGCCAACTTGTTAGTTTTCGCCTGTAGATCCTCAAGTTTGTGTGACATTAGACACAAGTCATCGGCGAAATCCAGATCTTCTAGGTTCTTTTCCACAGTCCAGTGTATCCCCCTCTTCTCGCTCCCCACTGTTTGCTGCACGAGCCAGTCGACCACAATCAGGAATATCATGGGTGATAGTAGACAGCCTTATTTCACTTCCGTCTTCACTTCAAAAGCATCACTGAGCTTCCCATTGTGAATTACTTGGCTGGCATGTGGCGTCTTCATATAGTTGTTGAATGAGGCTGATAAAGGTTTGTGGTATTCTGTAGCATTGAAGCAGTTTCTAAATTACCTCTCGGTCGACGCTGTCAAAGGCCTTCTCAAAGTTGAGGTAGACCTCCCCACTTGACTGCCATTCCATACTCTGTTCTATGATGATGCGAAGCGTTGCAATTTGGTCGGCACATGATTTGTACTTCCTGAATCCAGCCAGCCAGCCAGCCAGCCTGTTCCGGTCGTAGTTTTGAATCTAGCACGTCCTTTAGCCTCTCCAGGATGATGCGGCTTAATATTTTGCTTGCTTTGGGTGGACAGGAGAGTGATTCCGCACCAGTTCTTGCAAACACTGAGGTCGCCCTTCTTCGGCAGTTTGACAAGGTAACCCTTCTTCCAATCACTAGCCAGGTACCTTCTCTTCCTTCCTTGCAAACCTTCTGCAATAGTGGTGTGGTGTGAGCATGTCCGCTGTTGTCTCTGCGTCTGTTTTCAGTGCTTCTGGTGGGATCCCGTCTGGTCCTGCTGCTTTCCCACATTTCAGTAGCCTCATGGCGTTCAGGACTTTCACTTTTGTTGGAGGATTTATGTCCACTTGTAGTTCGGCGGCTGGGCTGTAGATGGTATTTCTGGAAGAGTGCAGGTGGTGGTGGTGATCGATTCAAGAGCTTCTTGAAGTGGTCAGCCCATTGTTTCCTTTGTTTCTCTTTTTTCGTAATTAAATTTTCGTCATCATCTTCTATTGGTTTCGTCTGTGTTGATCTCTTCCCTGCCAGATAGCAACCTGGTTATTTGATACAATGTTATCAGGTCTCTCTTACCTGCAGCCTGTTCTGCTTCACTTGCCAGTGTTTCGTAAAAGTGTCTTTTGTCTTTCCGTCCACTCTTCTTCACTTCTTTGTCCAGTATAGTGTTTTATACATTGTACTCAGTTCCTCTTCTCCTCGTTCATCCTTGCACTGCACTGGTTTATCTTCTGCTTCACCATCCTTCTCTCCCATGTATCCATTGCAATCCATTCCTTATCTTCTTTCTTCTTCCTTCCTAATACGGCTGTGCAGGTTTCTTTCCACATAGCTTTCAAAGACTCCCAGTGTTCATCCACACAGGTTTCTTCAGGGATCTTCCTCGATATCTCCCATTTTGTCTTGATGGCTGACTGATGTGAAGATTTCTTTTGTAGTTTCGTCCTTCAGTTCAGTTTCTGTTGTGGGTGTTGAACTTGAACTTTGGTCCATCACCAACTTCCCTGAAGGCTTTTCACCTGATTCGGAAGGTAGGTTCCTTGCACTAGAGAGGGAGTGGTCTGAACCTACATCTGCTCCTCTTCTTGACCTTGTGTCAAGTAGACTGCGTCTCCATTTTCTTGAGATTGAGATAAAGTCGATTTGACTTTTAGTGTGTCCATCTGGTGAGATCTATGGCACTTTGTGGATATCCTTGTGTTTGAACACAGTGCCTGACTCCAATCACCAAATCATTGAATGCACAGAAGTCTGCAAACAATTCTCCATTCTCTTTCACCATTTCACCGAGCGCTTCTCGACCCATGCACAGTTCTCTTCCTGTGTTGTCCGCTCCCAGTTTGGCATCCATGTCATCCATCCGAATTTTGATATCGCCAACTGACGTCTTGTCCAGTGTTGATTGAAGTTGTCTGTAGAACTCCTTCTTCTTCTCGTCATCTGCACTATTTGTAGGTGCATAGCATTGTATGATTGTGGCCTTCCTTCCTTTTGAGTTGAATCTTGCTGTCATGATCCCGACTGTGGAGGAGGAGATTGGTTCCCACTGCATGAGAGCCTTCGATGCTGTTGGAGACATCATGGTAGCCACTCCATAACTCAGTGTGCTGTGCTCGTGGTTGTCGTCTGGGTGACAATATCAGAGTAGATTATTGATTCTCCAGTTGACAGTTTGGAGAGTCCACTCCCATTCCATCTGCTTTCGCAAATTCCAAGCACTTCAATGTGATACCTCTTCATCTCGTTTGCAATCTGGGCTGCCTTGCTGGGTTCAAACATCATGCGGACATTCCATGTCCCCATATTTACTTTCGCTTTCATCGAGAGAGGTGAAGATACATCGACCAATTGGCTTCCCGAAGGCTTTCACCAACTGGCGTCATTTTATCTTTTCGATTCCAGTGAGGAATAGTTTTGTTTTTGTTTGTGCTTTGAAGTTTCTTTAGCGGTTGGATTGGTTTCCCAGGGTAGGGTTGCTAGCCCTATGCCCAACCTTCCCTCTTTATTCGGGCTTAGGACCGGCTAGTAACTAGTGAACTAGTTAACCAGGCGAGGTTAACAACAACCGTTGCAGGTCTCTAATCTAGATATTTATGACGCATTTCCAAACGTGCATTATGACACATTGTGAAGCAGTATCATTTCGTACAGGTTGGAATGGTCACATTACAAAAAAAGAAAAATGCATTTTGTTGAGATCATTCTGTTGTCAGAAGTTTAAGCACTTCTAGAAGCCCCAAAACAATTATTGGCAAGCTATAAAAAGTTAAACACAAGTGGTTTTGCATTTTCGCTGAATGTTAGTAGAGAAATACATAAGAACGTCTCTGAATCATTGAGCACGTTGATCAGCAGTATATAACTGAAGTGTTTACGGGGATGTAAGTCAATGGTTTGGAGACTCAAAGATGATTTCAAACCAGTTGTACATAATTAGGTTTTTTAACATTTTAATTTACCGACTTGGTAGAGTAAACGGTGGAAAAGTATGCCTACGTACTTTACACCATACTGCCGTATGCTAAATCAACTGAACAAATTAAGAAGTAATTGTAGAGTGATCGGATTCGACATACATTTAAGTCTTCCAGTCAACTAAGATGATTGTGGTATGTGTTACGCGGGCCCAGTCAACGTCTACCTCAACGCGCTGTTAGCCGAAATAGGTTTCGGCAGCCAAAATGAAGTATGGCATCTGCAAATGAAGTTTCAGACTATTGTTCTGAGCTGTGTGGGTTCCATGTGACAACTAAAACCAACGGTTGGAGACTGTAAGTGGTAGAGCTGAAAATAAATCTGAGGTGTAAATAAATCCACAAATTAACTTCATTGTAGTTGTCATATCACTTATCATTATTTGCATTACTCTCTTTTGATTCCTTCTTATGACTTCCTACAAATGAACTATATATCTGCAATTCCCTCTTATTCATCTTGTTGCACTATATTTTCTTGTGCTAATGCGAGATTTGGCAACTTAGATCGTTACACAGTACTACCGAGTCCCACGTTAATGCACAATAATTTTAGAAGTTATGTGGCATCAGCGCACAATGAAAGTATCATCTAGACTAAATTTCATAGACTGTCATATAGGTGATTAGAACGCTGAAATACATCAGACTCTCTTGCAATTTAGCCATCAGGTCTAGATACAAGCTGGAATTCAAATTGAAAGGACAAAAGAATACAATTTACCTGAAAGGACCATAGAGACACGATGCGAATTTGGCTGAATAAGACATAACTGCTACCTTTTCACTTAGGCCAGCGTTTTGAAGAGCAGTCTTAATTGCTTTTACACGTCCATCCATCATATCAGAAGGAGCGATCACATCAGCTCCTGGGAAGAAAAACATAAACATTATATGAAGGAACAGTACCTGGAGGGTTTCCTCAACCGGAAAATATGCGAACAAACCAGTAATAAGTGCTTACAACAAAAATAATCCACCAATACACACGTGCACAACTGCTCCTATTAGTGATATAACCAGGTCAAACTATTAAACAATAAGTTGGTCTAGAAAAAGAAATTATAAAATGCAAATCTCTGGATGACATACTAGATAGGCCGTAATTTTATTGTTGCATGCACAGTAAATCCTAGAGTCCCCTGTTCAAATAAACATAGAGTTGACGTAACTACAATCCTTTATGTCAACATACTCTGAAGAAGAATGGCAAGTTTTTACGCTGTCCCGTTCACAGTACATAAAGCCGATCAATACTAACATGATTTCTGGCATTACTGTACAACGGTTGACACCTCACATCATGATACAAAGAAACAACGTACACCACAAGAGGATGTAAACAGCATGATTAGAAGCCGTCACAGAATGAAGATTTATCTTACAAATTTGATATCCTACAAAAAGAAAAACTGGTTACTTATTTGTTCGATATTCGATAAAAATTGTCTATCATTACTAAAATCTATATCGCCAGGATGTGTACATCACTTTATGACACAAAGTCTTTTAGGAAAGCAAATCATTTTGCTGAGTAGTGAGGAGAGTATATTCGGTCGTACCTACTTCAACTGACTTTAAATTCCATGTTTTCATTTGTGACAATGTAGCTTTTGTCACGGAAAAACAGAATACGAGTTTTCAGACCATTTTCTCCAAAAATTTTCTATTCTTTAATACATTTTAAAAATTACCTTACAGTTCAGCAACGATGTTTATATGCATGTATCACACCACAGATCATACTCATTATGAGTTAACAATATCAAATAACCTCGACTTCGTAGATGAAAAAACAAATGAGATTATGCTTCCTTAAAAGCAGCTACGTAATCTAGTTCATGCCACACAAGTCATTTTTATTCAAGTCTGAATATTCCTTATTCACTTTGTTGGTCAAAACAATTAAAAATCTGGTGGTCCTGGGTTTGATTGCTCAAATGGTCATGGGGTGTACACTGCTGAAGAGTCTCAAACTGGGACAAAACAGCTGTCCCATGCATACAGGCTTTCAATCGTTGCCCAGAAGATGTCAGTTAGTGATGGAAACTATTTCAAACAAAAAAATCTCCACATGCTACCAAATGAACTTTTTTGGGATAAGCCGAAGAATCTTAGTGCAAAAGTCGGGCATTGGTTGAGTATAATTCCATATTAGATTGCTCACTTGACATAGCACACTGTGACACAGTATTAGTTACTGGATGACGTTACGGGTAGAATTTATCGCTCATAATCGTATCAAAAATGCCATACAGCCTTCACACTTAGATTTCTAATAGAAAATATTCTATTGGAAATCGCTCAGTCTAGGCTCATCAACTCCTTTGAATTACTGAAACATGCACACATACACAATTAAAGGAGGGAGAAAAGAAAAATACGACTAACAGGACCAGGCATATACTGCATAGTAATTTAAGTCATGACATCCTAAATCAACACATCAAGCGAGAAAGATAACGAAATAAAACGAAAGCAGCCGAAGCAGTAGAAAGTTTTTATAAGATGATAAAGAAGAATGCGAAAATACTGAATTCAGGGTTGCGACTACGAGGAGAATAGTGTCATGTCACGTAAGCACCGCTGACATCAATTCTGAGCTAAAGAACCTACAGTCACAAAACACCGGCTTCTGTTGTCACACCATCCCTAACTAGGAAGCTTACATTTCCGTACAACTCAGACTAACGAAGACTTCAGGGACTGATGCTATGTTTTGGTATAGTTTCCCGTTACTTTGCTCCAACCTAAGCCTACTTCAGTTAGCTAACATTATGCGACAAAGCAGATGCCGACTAGATATGTGTAACACATGTCTCAGTCACCTGAGCCGATGATGGTTAACAACCTCATTGATTGACTCTCCTCTCTAAAACCTTATGCGTGACTTCCACGTTACTGATGTAGTGACACCACGACATCCGGCCTACACTACTGAAGCGACGGTGGTTAAACACCCGACTGATAACTGCTACCTTGGTGTGGTGGTAGGGCTTGCATATCGCAATGACTCAACAAGCTATGCTGGTGAAACGCTTGTTCCCTGGAGGTCCAAGCGTACCAGAAGCTCTGATGGATAGTGGTGAGTCAACCCTATCATGTTCTTCAATAATGAGATGATGCGGCATCGCGGTTTAGATGATACATAAGTGGCTACTGGCCATTCAAAACTACAGGGCCTACGTGCAACTACATCTTCAACACTACAGCCCAGTTGTCATGGCAACAAGAAGGGCGTACGCTACACCCCTCAGGCAGATGTCAACTGAGCTCCGCGGTCACACAAGTCTTTTTCTCTTTCAGATACCTTATGAAGAAATAGCCTTCTATGGTATTGGCAGCTAGGAAGTGTCAACTGCCCGTAAGCTTCCAGTGGTACACAAGACCCAATCACACATAACGTATCCTCCTCAGCCGTCACCCCCTGATACTAATTTTATGCCTCTTACACTTATCCCAACCCCTCAATCTGCAATCATTGTCAACGATCAAAATTATCGAAACCTCATTTCTAGTCTCCTAAGACCCTCACACCCACCATCGATTTCATGTTGCAGCTTTCAACCACCAAACTCTATGCAAAATCCAACAGCAAGCATCACTACCAAGAACTCTGGAATCTCTAGTCAAGGGTGTACGCTGTGAATCTGAGACTCGTGTACAGGATCCGACTGTGGTTATTAAATTTAGTTCACCTGTCCAAGGTGTGGAATCTTCGAAATTCACCTCGAGATTATCCGATGACCCAATTGCCAGCTCTTGTGGACTCACTGGTGTTAGCATAGCATTGAGTTGTAGAGCAGAAAGTGCACTTCTCGACTGCATACCAGTCAACAGCCATATGTATATGCTGTTCAACTGAATGGATCTATAAGGACTAGGTAGTGCTTTGAGATCAACTGATCCCTATTCTTAATCTCCGCTTATGCACCAACCAACTGAAGTTCGGATGATGCGAATGATGAATTCTACGAGAAGCTGTCACTCTTACTATGGAAAGTAAAGCGCTTAGACGGAGTCATAATGCCAGGTGACTTCAACGCTCGAGTAAGGAAGTTGAACTAATCGAAAAGGCATCTGGGAGGTATCTCCGGAATCCCATGCCAACGAACCGACGATGGTGATTGTCTGTTGCAATTTTGTTTTGACAGTCACTTGTTTGTGGCCAGCAATAACCTTAGGCATGAAGTGAGACACTGTCATTTGGCGTCCACCAACGTCAAACCAACGATGGACACAGACAGATCATATTGTTACAGGTCATCGTTCGATAGGATCGGTGGAGGATTGCCGCTCTTTCTGGAGTACCAGTTTGCACTCTCATTAAGTAGTAGTTCGGGTTTGGTGGATGAGAACGCCAAGTACACATTTACAGGTGAGTTAGCTAAGCATTCATCTGAACGTGACTGCAATGCTCATCCTGAAGAAACCTGGTGTGATATTTAGTCTGCTGTAGAAACAGCGGTAACGACAGTTGGTGACCTGCACCTGAAGGTTAGTTAGCAAACGTGATTGGATTTCCGCGACGTCATCCGAAGTGATTGATTCGAGAAGACTGACTACAGTTGGCTCTGACCACAATGAAGAACGAAGGCAACTCAAATGAAAGTTGACCAAGAGTCTTCGAGTCGATCGCGAGCAGTGGTGGGTGGAGAGAGCAAGAGAGGTGGAGAAGACATCATCGGTGGGTAACACTCAGCAACTATTTAGGCGTATTAAGGATACTGGCATGATGAAGACGATGGTTAGTGAAGCCATCACCGAAGGGTTGGGACGCTACTAACCTCTCAGGACAGGCGGCTAGAACGTTGGGCAGAACATTTTGGAGTGCAGTTCAACTGGCCCTCAGCAACGCTTCAGTTGCCCAGTCATTAGTCAGTCCGAAGCTGAATGGGACGTGGGTGTCAGTCCCCCGACTTCCATTGAGACTTAGAATGCTGTTTCGAATCTGAAACGATGTAAATCAGCAGGACCAGACAGTTTGTCACCTGATGTTTTTAAGGATGGAGGTATAAAATTGCTGATAAGAGTAATAGAGGAACTAGGTAGTTGTATGGGAATCATAACCATTGCTGTCAGTCTGGTATGCTTAACTGGTCACCCCTGTCTATGAGAAAGGAATTCGTCTTGTGATAACCATAGAAGAATTTATTTGACTAATATGTCCAAGATTCTATGGTCCATAGTTATCCGACGCCTGACTGCAGCTCGATAACAGCAAACTGGAGAAAGCAGGGAGTTTTCAGATATGAACGAGGGTGCATTGACCATATTTTCCCTCTCCGACATGTCGTCCAACATAGGTATACTTTCCGGTGGCCGACACGCCATATATCTTGACTTGAAGGTGAAACTTGACTCTATACACTATGAGGTGTTGTGGCTGTGTTTAGCTGAGGAGGAAATGCCGAAAATTTATTGAACGCTGTTTAGAGCCCTCTACTCTAACTCACGCACACGTGTAAAGGCTTATGGAGAGTGGTTATCACTTCTCGGCAACGAAACCTGGGTCCACGGCTTTTTGCCGATTGCCTTCAACCATCTAACACCAGCCAAACTGCACCACGATACTGAGTGTTTTAGCTTGGTGGTCATATCAGAAAACGATCAACGGAATTCGGTCAGCACTCGGGACCAGATAACGTGAAACTGGTTACTCTTCAGTGAGGAATCAATGTACTTCACTACATACGGTTAGTGTAGGATAAACATATCACTGCAGGATTGGAACAGATACAACTTGGTGCCAGGTTCTACGGTGATTTACCTAGAATTTGTTGATACAAAACCTTTCTGTACATCAACACTTGTCATCCATAAATCTAAGAATCACATAAGTGGTTTTTACATCTAAGTATTCTGTCTTGCTTAAAAACTGATCCCTAGAGCTATTCTATTTGAACGGTGTGTTAACATCCTTGATCAAGCATATCAACCCAACGGCAAGCATATTCAGAATATCAGTAAGTGGATTGAGCACTATAAGTAGAGGGCGTAGTTACAGAAATAGGTTAACTATATTAAACTTGCTCTACTTTGCACTGTTCCTCACAAAAAGTAGGACGATTGAGGATCTTATACAACATCTAAAAGTCACGGAACCAACTTTTTAACATGGATATATTCCAATGCCGAATACTCGAACTGCTGAGAATTATCTCCCTAGTATCACCTAATAACTAACATTTTATGGATGTCTCAGAGAAATATCATGTTAATTATACAGCACTGTTCGCTGTACTTTGTATAACGCTGACAAATGTACACTATTTTCTTAATTGTTGGATTCTGTAACTTAAAAATCCGAAATGTGCGCATTCGACTAAACTACTAGACGACGAACAAAATCCACTAAAAGGTTTGAACTTGGAAGCCTATAAATGGTCGCTAAGGCACATTTAATGTAATAATCTTATTGATGAATACCTTACCTGCTAAAGCGTAGTGTGTAGATATCTCAGCCAATCGTTCAACAGTTCTAGGTACATCAATACATCCATCATTACGTAAAATGCCTAAATTATGTTCCGAAGTAATTTTTTTAAACTACCACAATGGCCATGGTCAGTGTATGCACAGAGACAGACATCACAAATAACTACTAAATTCGGAAATTTTGACTTGATCAACTCAATTGATCGAAGAACTGGCGAGTCTGGTTTGTCACAGCCTGATCCTGCAGCATCCTTCTGGTCTTTATTAATGGTTCCAAATAACAGGACAGATTTCAGCTGCTTGGCCACCAACGGTTTTAAGAATTCGATGATACGATTACATCCTACACGCCGCTGATCGATTAAACTGGTGATGACTTCATCACACTCCGGTTCCTGGCTGAAACTCTGAAGTATGCAACAACAATGTACCTTAAAAAGATTGGATAAACAAGATTTTCAGCTCCGATCTTGTAATTCACAGCATGCCACTGCCTAAACAATAGCCTTGAGTATGATGTGTGAAGAGGATGATCAGAATACATCGTTTATGTTATATCACGAAATGAAATTTGGTGGAATGCTTGATGATATCTTAACAGAATTCCCTTGTTTTCTGCTATATCTGAATAGAAATAAAGTGATATGAAAGATGACACCGGTAATAGGTATACAACAAACAGACTATCTCTCTTAAAAGAAATATTCTTAATAGTCGAATAACACCAAATGTTTACCAAGTAATTCCCTTTATAGTGCATACATCTATCCAGTGGATCAGGGCACTAGCCAGCGTCAAATACTTTGAACTGCAGACGTAGTGTTCACCGACAATAAAAATTAGCACTTCGAAGCGTTAAGATTATTTTTATTATTTTTTCCCTTGGGTTCCTAGTGGACCATGGGACTTCAGTAGCACATCTCCATTACACTCTGTTCTCTGCAATCTTTTGAACCTCGCTCCATGACTGCCCACAAGCTTTCATTTCTTCCTCAAATGATCTCCTCCATGTCACCCTCACCTGGGACGCCTAATTCGTCGTTTCCCCTTTGGATTCCACTCTACGACCCGGCCTGGTGCATGGTGTCCCCAGTCGACCTCCTCAATCTGTGCCCAATCCAATCCATCTCCACTTTCTTCTGCATATTTGTTGGGCGATAGTTTCTTGGTTGGTTGGTTGCCAGTCAGCCAGCCAGAGTTCCTTGTTGCTTATTCTTTCTGACCATCTGATCTTCAGTATCGAGTGGGTGTAAGCGGCAGCTATTGATGAATGTCTGTAGTTTGTTGGAAATGCTTTTCGTGACACGCCAAGTTTCTGAACCATATAGAAGCCATGACTTGACGTTGGTGTTGAAAATGCGGATCTTGTTCGCGCTTTATGCTAAGTGCAGTAGACCTCCACACTGATTTCAGGTTAATGAAGGCCTCTCTCGCTGTCGTTTCGATACTGGCATTGACGTCCTCATCTGTGCCGCCACCTGTAGTTGAAACGATGCCGCCTAGGTAGGTGAAAGACAACTTCCTTTAGTTACCTCCCGTTAATGGTGATTGGTGCTTGTCGTAGATGCTGTTGTTCGTTGGGTATCTTCATCACCTCTGTCTTCTCTACGTTCACTTGACGCCCAGTCTTTGCTGTCTCTTCTGTCAACTTGTTGCATTTTGCCTGTAGATCTTCGAGTTTGTGTGACAAGACATTAGACATAAATCATCATGGGCGAAATCTAAATCTTCTGGGGTCTTTTTATCGTTCCAGCCAGCGTATGCCCATATTCTCACTCCTCACAGTCTGCTGCATGACCCAGTCGACTACAATCAGGAAGATCATTGGAGTTAGAAGGCGGCAGCCTTGTATTACTCCTGTCCCCTGTCTTCGCTTCAAAGGCGTCAATGAGCATGTGGCGTCTTCATATAGCTGTTGAATGAGATTAATAAAGATTTGTGGTATTCCGTAGTGTTGAAGCAACTGCCTGTCAAATTGCTTCTCGGTCGACGCTGTCAAAGGCCTTCTCAAAGTTGAGGTAGAGAGTCGACTGCCACTCTATACTCTGTTCTATGATGATGCGTAGCTTAGCATAGCGTTGCAAGTTGATCCAAAAATGATTTGTTCCTTCTGAATCCAGCCAGCCTGTTCCGGTCATAATTTTGAATCCAGTGCATCCATTTAGTCTCTCCAGGATGATGTGACATAATATTTTGCCTGGGTGGGTGAGGACAGGAGCATGATTCCTCGTCACTTCTTCCAAGGACTTAGGTCTCCTTTCCTTGGGAGTTTGACAAGGTAGTCCTTCTTCCAATCAATCAGCAGGTACCTCTCCCTCTTTCCTTCCTTCCTTCCTTCCTTCCTTGCAAACCTTCCGCAGTAGTGGTGTGTGTGTCCGCTGTTGTCTCTGCGTCTGTTCACAGTGCTTCTGGCGGGATTCCATCTGGTTTCGCCGCTTTCCCGGCTTTCTGCAGTTTTATGGCCATCAGAACTCCACTTTTGCTTTTGTCAGAGGGCCTGCGTTCGCTGACAGTTCTATGACTGTGCTGCTGATGGTATTTGTGGACAAGTTGCAGGTGGTGGTGGTTTTGGTCGATTCAATAGTTTTTTGAAGTGGTCAGTCCATCGTTTCCTTCCGCTCTCCTCTTTGGTGGTAACTAGGTTTCCTTCACTATCTTCCATTGGTTCCATCCGCGTTGATCTCTTCGCAGACAGTAAGTAACCTAGTGTTGTCAGGTCTCTGTCTCTCCTAGCTGCAGCCTGTTCTGCTTCGCTTGCCAGTGTGTCATAGAAGTGTCTTTTATCTTTACACACACTCTACGTCACTTCTTAGTCCAGTGTTTTGTAGGTTGTGTTCAGCTCCTCCTTTCGTTGTTCATCCCTACATTGCACTGCACTGCACTGGTTCATCTTCTGCTTCACCATCTTCCTCTCCCTCCTGTATCAGCTTCCATGTGTCCGTCAGGATCCATTCCTTGTCTTGTTTCCTCTTCCTTCCTAGTATGCTTATGCAGGTTTCTTTCCACATAGCCTTCAAAGACTCCCAGTGTTCTTCCACACAGGTTCCTTCGGGAATGTTGCTCAATCTCTCCCATTTCGTCCTGATGACTGACTGATTGACTGACGTGAAGATGTCCTTTGTAGTTTCGTCCTTCAGTTCAGTATCGATTCTGGGTGTTCAACTTGAACTGTGGTCTATCACCAGCTTCTTCTTTGAAGGCTTTCAACTTGGTTTTTAAGGTAGGTTCCTTGCAGCAGATGGTGAGTATTGTGAACCTACATCTGCTCCTTTTCTTGAACTGATCTTGTGTCGAGTAGGCTGACTGTGTCTCCACTTTCTTCACATTGAGATGAAGTCAATCTGATTTCTAGTGTAGTGTGTCCATCAGGTAAAATGTCACTACCTTGTGAATATCCTTGTGTTTGTACATACTGCCTCAAACCACCAAATCACCGAAGTCGTGGAAGTCTGCAAACAATTCTTCACTCTCTTTCATCATTTCACCGAGCGCTTCTCGACCCATGCACAGTTCTCTTCCTGTGTTGTCCGCTCCCAGTTTGGCATCCATGTCATCCATCCGAATTTTGATATCGCCAACTGACGTCTTGTCCAGTGTTGATTGAAGTTGTCTGTAGAACTCCTTCTTCTTCTCGTCATCTGCACTATTTGTAGGTGCATAGCATTGTATGATTGTGGCCTTCCTTCCTTTTGAGTTGAATCTTGCTGTCATGATCCCGACTGTGGAGGAGGAGATTGGTTCCCACTGCATGAGAGCCTTCGATGCTGTTGGAGACATCATGGTAGCCACTCCATAACTCAGTGTGCTGTGCTCGTGGTTGTCGTCTGGGTGACAATATCAGAGTAGATTATTGATTCTCCAGTTGACAGTTTGGAGAGTCCACTCCCATTCCATCTGCTTTCGCAAATTCCAAGCACTTCAATGTGATACCTCTTCATCTCGTTTGCAATCTGGGCTGCCTTGCTGGGTTCAAACATCATGCGGACATTCCATGTCCCCATATTTACTTTCGCTTTCATCGAGAGAGGTGAAGATACATCGACCAATTGGCTTCCCGAAGGCTTTCACCAACTGGCGTCATTTTATCTTTTCGATTCCAGTGAGGAATAGTTTTGTTTTTGTTTGTGCTTTGAAGTTTCTTTAGCGGTTGGATTGGTTTCCCGGGGTAGGGTTGCTAGCCCTATGTCCAACCTTCCCTCTTTATTCGGGCTTAGGACCGGCTAGTAACTAGTGAACTAGTTAACCAGGCGTTAAAATACTGATGCATTGTTTTTTGAAGAATCCTGTTGTACTAATGAGTACCATAAAAATAATCCTATGAAACAGAGTAAACACTGAGATACCCCATCAAATTAATGAATCAAAATTTTAGTGTGATGAGAAAATGAATTAAGTTTTTGTTTCAGAAAGCCGAGGTACTAGTTAACTATTTACTGAGTACCCAGTAGGAAAGTCACTCCCAACGAACATTACAGCACTTTAGTGGGAAATAATTTTCAGAGCCCATCGATTAGACATATCAGCTAGTTAATTATGTCAGCTTGTTGTGAGAACTTAATGTCTTTACGGATGGTCCTCCGTATCTTGATGTCATCAGCAAGTAACAACAATGATAACCTTAGCACTTCGGTACTTCATTGACATTAAGGAAGACCTGTGGTTCAGGAATACAGCCTTGCTAAACACTATGCGGAAGGTTGTCACTCAGAGGGTATCCCCTTCACTTTGGCTTCTCTCGTGTATTCCCTAATCCATGCATGACACATTGTAAATACTGTAAATTCTCCTCAAAAATCCTGACAAGACCTTGCTTAAGACATTAAACATCACATTTACAAGGGAATTGTTGTCTTCAGCTTTAACACAGTACTCAAAGCATTTAGCGTCCAGCCCTGACAAAATTCGTAATACCTAACATAAAATACAAAAGCTGAAGATCCGATTCAAAGATACGTACCTCTAACAATAAATTCTCAACGAAGAAAGAATTCTTCAGACTGTCAACGTGGACAACGGAAGACTGCCAACTAGAGCATAGGCAAAGGTGTGGCACACTACACGCATGTGGCTGCACATTTGAAGGTCATCACATTGAAACCCCACTGGTGCATTTTGAAAGAAACTTAGGAACTAATTTCATTTTAGTTGGTTTGTTAAAAATGTCACACCATGAGATAATTTACTGTCGACATTCTGTGCGATGTGCGCTATTTGAAGAAGGGAGTGACTTTTCACGTTCAGCAAGATTCTTGGCATTTTGTGCCTACACATCAACGGCTGTTGCATTTTTTCTCCGATCGGAATATTATTTGATTAAAGTGGGACAGGAACTTTTACTGGGTGAAGTTCTGTAGTTTTCGCTACATGGTGAGCCAAAAGTGTAGAAATACTTGTGGTAGGAGTGGGTGCCGCTCTGATAAGCAGTGTAGAGAATGTAAGAGTTGATTCCTCTATAACTTCATAGGCCTCAGCCCCTCAGCAGCGATTCAGGAAGTGCCCAACTTCGTACATTGTGCTGCTCGGATATTCGCACTCTGGTAGAAGAAGCAAAGGCACTTCTAAATACCATAACTATGAAATTGTCACCATCAGAGTCTATAACTCTGATAGTTATAACCACACAGCAGACAAACAGATTGCTGTGCAAAGTTTTAAGAACGTCCCACGACAAGCTGTAAGTCGGACAAGTAGACTGCCCACTAGGTTTGCTGACAGCGACTTGGTACAAACCACATCAAGCAGGGTGAAGAGAGTATCTTCTGGTCATCTCATCCCCAGAGCTGGCAGACCCAGTCTGAAAACTGCTGACTGTAATACTGGGGCTACTTCAAATGAAAGAAACGTGAGTGGAGCACTCTCTCAATGGCAACAACAGAACCAAGCAGACCGCTGGTCATACCCAGTTCAGCGGCCCAATCATTGACAAGAACTAAACGGAATGGTATGCCGGTCCGTTCTGAGGCTCTCAGCTTCAAGGCCACTGGACGAGGCTTTGGTAAACTATGCATACGCGACTCTGAAAAACGGCTGGTGATTAGGTCTAAACGGCTTACTAAGGAACCGATAACGGTCATCGAACCGGGTCTCGTCACTCCACAGAGCAAAGATAAAGTAGAGATCCTTGACAGGTCCGTAATCTCCCAAAGAGTGGAAGAAAGCGGAGACCCAGAACCATGTAAACGTTTCAAACATGACTTTGGAAAGGAACAAAGTTTGATTAACCAGCCTTTACCAGAAGACATACCAGGAGTCACCCTACTCAAGATATACAGAGTAGGAAAACAGGAAGCAGTCATTGCTAAAACGAGTCTCGGCTACTTAAAGTAATGTTTGAGGCAACAGATTATAAGGATCAGATTCTGAGGAGCGGTAATAGACTTCAAGGATCCAAGGTGTTCCTGCGAAAGGATCTGGCTCTCGCTGATCGGATCAGAAAGCGAGAGGCAGAGGCAGAGCTAAAATCCAGATTAGCAGTTGGAGAGCAAGATCTGAAAGTGGTGGGTTTTCGTGTAGTGAAGTTTCGGCAACAAATGATGCCGAAGCCTTTATGGATAGGACGGAAACTCATTTCATTGTTTTGTTTCATTGTCTTGTACACAAATACATGTACTCTTTTAAACAAGTGGACTGAGCTTAGTAATGTCATCAGCAACGAAAGCCCTGACATCATTTCTATTACGAGGATTCGGCTCTTTTAGAAGTGATAGATTAGCACCCAAACGTGGTGGTTTCATCCCTTACGTTAAGAATAACTTAACTTTAAAAGCCATGAAAACAGCTGCGCAAGAAAGTGGGACATGTGAAGTGCTGCGCTCCCGACTAAAATGCAAGGGACAAGATGTTAACGTAACCGTGATGTATCGAAGCTCTGATTGTAAGGCAGTAGAATTCCTCCTGAGTAAGCTGACCCTCTGAACAGATAAATGCCAATGTCTAGTTATAGAAGACTTCAACGCACCATCAGTCAACTGGGATAGACTAAAAACAAAAGCACGACATAATTCATTCGGCCACAGGTAACTGGAAACATCAATTCCATTAGCCCTCACGTAGTTGCATATCGAACTCCTGCTAACAGCATGGAACAGGATCAACAGCTGCCTTAGGTAATGTCCTCAGTTTTGAATGGGGGAGACGATCGGGTAGCCATAGCGAGGGATCTTAATGCCCCCCACTCTCAACCTCTGGCAGGACAGTACAATTTCAAGCCGAATGCTAGATCGAAAGCTACCAGGTGTCCTCGAAAAGGCTGGACCGCATGAGAAGACCGTCGATGACGCTCACTGGAAGGTGAGTAGTAAGTCATCGAAACTGGGTGACCATTTTGCTGGGGACTACCTTCTAGCAGATGTCCAGATTCAAACTCACCTCGGTGGCAGCGATAACGTTATGGTGGTGTTCGATCTTATAAGTAGGAAACAACTAGCACGCGAGGGATCCTGTCTTTTTCTTTGCAACAGCCAACTTTATGCTTCATCGTCAGATGTATCACCTCCAATTGCTATAAAGTCACTAACAACTACTGTTTCGATTTCCGTTACCTCCACCATAATCTTGCGTGCCCCTCTTCCCCCCATCTGACCCTGTGGTTTTGTTCTACTTTTAAGTTCCCTCCCATCTTCTCCGAGTCTATGAAGCCTCCCCCGTTACTTTCAGTTTGCTTTTTCTTACTTTTTGTTTTCCCTGAACATCTCATTCTCCCTGCCTCCTTTTTACAACCAGTGCTAACAGACGTCCAGTGCTGCAACTTTTGAGGACCTCATCTGCACCGCAGTCCGGGACAAATCACTCAACCCCCCGCAAATTCAGTTAGCATTTGATCGTCCTTTGGGCATTCCCCAGTTACAGCAGGCGAGTGGGTAGACCCACTGCAATGGAATCTGCAAGAGACCTGACACTGTTCCACAAGAATTAGAAGCAAGCATGAAGAAATCGGCTGGTTTATCCAAGCTCATGTTAGGATACCGGATGCGTAAGATACAACTGACTCAGTTTCGAAACGCCATTTCACTGGACATGTTCGCACACGGGAACAGGCGTAAGACACGTAGTTCAGACATATGATACCGCGTTTGAGGTGCAGGATACAGGATCATGCCATCGGAATGTTATGATCTGGAGTCAGACTGCCATATGCTATAGCCCCTAAAGATGCACGGATATCGTCTCTCAGCTGCCAATATTCAACAATTCCTAGTTGATTCCCGAACCGGATAATTAGTAGAGAGGACACGATGGGCGTGTAGAAACATGTATTAGGGTCGAAAGACCGAAGGGTGGATGGTGGGAGAGTTTAGTTCTCCGAGAACGTAATACTAATCAATCCCCAAACACGTGAATAAGTACACGCATGACAACTGGTCTTGTCAGCAACTTGGGACATTGTCATAGCAACAGTAGAGATTATCCAATCAGCGAACGGCATTACAATGGGGGCAGAAAATAAACTACTAGTCGTACCGTAAAAATGGTGCAGGAATGCCAAGTAAAAAATGTTAGGGTCAATAACAATGTTTTATGCAACAATAGGGTCTCACAACACGGAACTTCACAAGGAATTCGAGGTCACACTGTACCACCCTTCTTATCTTAACGATATTCGGTGGTTCAGACGATGGATGAATGACTCCTAGTCCCGAGATAAACCTGCTTTAATCTACTGAGTAATGATGTTGGTATCTTTTTTCATTATTTTCACTATCTGCTGTCTGCGAAACGACCACGTTCTTTCCTTCAAATCATCTCTGAACTCGTTGAAAAGAAATATTTCTTCGCTCATATTGTTTGTTTTACTAAACATTTCTCAACTGCCTTGAATAAGGATTCCTATTGCATTGCGTCTTATTGATCACAACGATCAATTCACATTGCCAGACTGATCATGCAGACAAATTGGTTAGTGTATGAAGTGCGCATTTTTATCATCACTACTATTATTCGATATTGTGGACGACTCAGCCTGGTGTAGGACAGACATTTGACCCAAGCGGGAAACGCCAAGCCCCATCGTATATCTACCAACACGGAAGATTCTGTACTCCATCTCTATGAATCTTGGAAAGCAAGTGTTGTCGGGCTGAAGTCTCGAACACACTCAGGTATTTTGAGATGTGTAGGGTGTCGCAATAGTTTCTAGATGCCAGGGATTTCAAGGATGTCATTGACTGTGTTGGACAGAACTGAAAAGTTCGTACGCCCCCTGGGAAAGGGGGACCAAACACTGCCTCATTCAACCGACAGGGGCACGTAAGCATGAACCGGCCATTCCAGGGGGTGGTGTGTATCAATTCAACCTGCGGACACAACGTAGTGTGCAGACGAGAAAGGGCTGCAGGTGCCAGCTTATTTCTACGAATGTTCGCCAGTGTCACATGCGGAACGGATGACGTAAATGTTCCTGTCGTGGACATGGTAGCAGCCAAAATATGTGCTGTCGAATCCACTAACAACCACATGGTGGCTCTATGCTTATTCCATGTGCTGGTGGCATTCTCACTTAAGTTCGGCTGTTTCAGCTTAATTAATTTCGGACGGGTAGTTCTGTAATCTCAACGTCGGATGTTAACTCAAGAAAGTTATTATGACCAGAATCATGGATGGGTAAGTGAAGCGTCATTTCATTTACTGCAGATGAGTCCCTTCAGTATTATGAGTATCTGCATAGATGACATCCTTGTTTACGTGAGTGTACAAAGGGGCACAGAATGAGCCCCAGGCATATGTGGGCACATTATTGTCAACGGCAAAATTACTTGTTTGGGCAACAGTAGGAGTAATCGAGTAGAGAGTGAGTGCAAACTTCATGAAGAGTGTCTGAGAGGTAGTGACCAACTGTTACGGACATTTTAAGAATCCGAAACAGAACTGACGCTCATCTGGGATTGCAGTCATTCGGCGTCTTGGGCGTCTTCAGCGTCGTTCGACTGAGTCAGCCGAAATCCGGCCAATCACCATTCTTTTAGGCTTCCTCTGACTCTGCAAACCGGCTTAAATTGCTTGACAACCTCTACAGCAAACATCGCTCCATGAAAATGCCAGTTAATCCGCGGACCATTGGATGAGGCCATAAGCAGCAAATACACGCGCTGTCTTGACACGGTGGTGGTGTATATTGCGGACGCTTCGAGTGCACAATGCGGCTATAAACGACTTGGAGATCACGTGCTGTCCCGCAACCGTCTATTGTGTGGATTTATTATTATTTATTATTAGTTCCTTGGGTTCCTAATGGAACATCGGAACATAATGATCGCCTGTCTTGCTTGTCCAATCCTGGCTGGCTGACATCCTCGTCTGTCCCGCCTGTAGTTGAAACACTGCTGCCTAGATAGGTGAAGGAGGTTACTTCATTTTAGTTTCTTCCGTTGATGGTGATTGGAGTTTGTTGTTGTTGTTGGAGTTGTTGGTGTGGTATCTTCATCACTCTGTCTTCTCTATATTCACCTGAAGTCCCGTCTTCCCTCCCTGCCTCTTCTGCCAACTTGTTAGTTTTCGCCTGTAGATCCTCAAGTTTGTGTGACATTAGACACAAGTCATCGGCGAAATCCAGATCTTCTAGGTTCTTTTCCACAGTCCAGTGTATCCCCCTCTTCTCGCTCCCCACTGTTTGCTGCACGAGCCAGTCGACCACAATCAGGAATATCATGGGTGATAGTAGACAGCCTTATTTCACTTCCGTCTTCACTTCAAAAGCATCACTGAGCTTCCCATTGTGAATTACTTGGCTGGCATGTGGCGTCTTCATATAGTTGTTGAATGAGGCTGATAAAGGTTTGTGGTATTCTGTAGCATTGAAGCAGTTTCTAAATTACCTCTCGGTCGACGCTGTCAAAGGCCTTCTCAAAGTTGAGGTAGACCTCCCCAGTTGACTGCCATTCCATACTCTGTTCTATGATGATGCGAAGCGTTGCAATTTGGTCGGCACATGATTTGTACTTCCTGAATCCAGCCAGCCAGCCAGCCAGCCTGTTCCGGTCGTAGTTTTGAATCTAGCACGTCCTTTAGCCTCTCCAGGATGATGCGGCTTAATATTTTGCTTGCTTTGGGTGGACAGGAGAGTGATTCCGCACCAGTTCTTGCAAACACTGAGGTCGCCCTTCTTCGGCAGTTTGACAAGGTAACCCTTCTTCCAATCACTAGCCAGGTACCTTCTCTTCCTTCCTTGCAAACCTTCTGCAATAGTGGTGTGGTGTGAGCATGTCCGCTGTTGTCTCTGCGTCTGTTTTCAGTGCTTCTGGTGGGATCCCGTCTGGTCCTGCTGCTTTCCCACATTTCAGTAGCCTCATGGCGTTCAGGACTTTCACTTTTGTTGGAGGATTTATGTCCACTTGTAGTTCGGCGGCTGGGCTGTAGATGGTATTTCTGGAAGAAGTGCAGGTGGTGGTGGTGATCGATTCAAGAGCTTCTTGAAGTGGTCAGCCCATTGTTTCCTTTGTTTCTCTTTTTTCGTAATTAAATTTTCGTCATCATCTTCTATTGGTTTCGTCTGTGTTGATCTCTTCCCTGCCAGATAGCAACCTGGTTATTTGATACAATGTTATCAGGTCTCTCTTACCTGCAGCCTGTTCTGCTTCACTTGCCAGTGTTTCGTAAAAGTGTCTTTTGTCTTTCCGTCCACTCTTCTTCACTTCTTTGTCCAGTATAGTGTTTTATACATTGTACTCAGTTCCTCTTCTCCTCGTTCATCCTTGCACTGCACTGGTTTATCTTCTGCTTCACCATCCTTCTCTCCCATGTATCCATTGCAATCCATTCCTTATCTTCTTTCTTCTTCCTTCCTAATACGGCTGTGCAGGTTTCTTTCCACATAGCTTTCAAAGACTCCCAGTGTTCATCCACACAGGTTTCTTCAGGGATCTTCCTCGATATCTCCCATTTTGTCTTGATGGCTGACTGATGTGAAGATTTCTTTTGTAGTTTCGTCCTTCAGTTCAGTTTCTGTTGTGGGTGTTGAACTTGAACTTTGGTCCATCACCAACTTCCCTGAAGGCTTTTCACCTGATTCGGAAGGTAGGTTCCTTGCACTAGAGAGGGAGTGGTCTGAACCTACATCTGCTCCTCTTCTTGACCTTGTGTCAAGTAGACTGCGTCTCCATTTTCTTGAGATTGAGATAAAGTCGATTTGACTTTTAGTGTGTCCATCTGGTGAGATCTATGGCACTTTGTGGATATCCTTGTGTTTGAACACAGTGCCTGACTCCAATCACCAAATCATTGAATGCACAGAAGTCTGCAAACAATTCTCCATTCTCTTTCACCATTTCACCGAGCGCTTCTCGACCCATGCACAGTTCTCTTCCTGTGTTGTCCGCTCCCAGTTTGGCATCCATGTCATCCATCCGAATTTTGATATCGCCAACTGACGTCTTGTCCAGTGTTGATTGAAGTTGTCTGTAGAACTCCTTCTTCTTCTCGTCATCTGCACTATTTGTAGGTGCATAGCATTGTATGATTGTGGCCTTCCTTCCTTTTGAGTTGAATCTTGCTGTCATGATCCCGACTGTGGAGGAGGAGATTGGTTCCCACTGCATGAGAGCCTTCGATGCTGTTGGAGACATCATGGTAGCCACTCCATAACTCAGTGTGCTGTGCTCGTGGTTGTCGTCTGGGTGACAATATCAGAGTAGATTATTGATTCTCCAGTTGACAGTTTGGAGAGTCCACTCCCATTCCATCTGCTTTCGCAAATTCCAAGCACTTCAATGTGATACCTCTTCATCTCGTTTGCAATCTGGGCTGCCTTGCTGGGTTCAAACATCATGCGGACATTCCATGTCCCCATATTTACTTTCGCTTTCATCGAGAGAGGTGAAGATACATCGACCAATTGGCTTCCCGAAGGCTTTCACCAACTGGCGTCATTTTATCTTTTCGATTCCAGTGAGGAATAGTTTTGTTTTTGTTTGTGCTTTGAGTTTCTTTAGCGGTCGGATTGGTTTCCCGGGGTAGGGTTGCTAGCCCTATGTCCAACCTTCCCTCTTTATTCGGGCTTAGGACCGGCTAGTAACTAGTGAACTAGTTAACCATGCGAGGTTTTCGTGTATGGATGACTATCAATAATTGCTTGGGGGTGGGGATGCTCCTTTTAACTGCTGCTCCTTTAAACAAATTCAGACGTAGTATAATGTGGTTCGGAATTTGCGCTTTGAACCTGGTTCCTGCTGCAGTAAGAATGATGATGGCTGTGCAAGTGAAAATGATTGTCCTTTGAATTCGTTTCGCGGTCGTTTTTAGACAGTGGGAGCTTCCAACAAACAGGGAACCACCTGGAGTCCAGGTGTGCTGCTTTAGAGTGCACTTCAGAACTTCTTATTAGCAGGGCCAGGGAATCAATGCCAGACCGTCTTCAGCTGTCTTTCGGCGTAATAACAGTAATGCGCACCATACGGATGATGAACTTAAATTCTTGCACAAGTTCGTTTTAAATACCGTTTCTCCGCTAACCTGTACCTAAACTTGTGACTCTGATTTCACGAGGCGTTTCAGAAGTATTTCGTTCGTAGAGCTGGACATCTAACAGTACATTTAGTTCGGTGCATAAAATCTGCCCAAGCGTAGGATACATGACGTTACAAGAGGACGTAAATTTTGGCCGGTATTGACTGTTTCACGACAGTTTGCACTTGCATTGCGAAAAACGATGGCGAAAACTAATGAGTGCATTCGCACTTCGCCATTTAAGAAGTTCTGTATACACATCACATGCAGTCCAGTGTACGCGTGACTATCTTCTGCCATATATTAATCATGATACACGTTTTAATGCCTTTTGTTACAAACGCCGCCTAGTTGGCAAAGTGATATAGGTACCTGTGTTGGACAATGTGTAAAACGGATATACTTCAACTCATATCATTAGTATTCAGTCGATCAAAATGGAGAGAGGTGATTTTAGGCCTTTGTGAGTACGCGACAACCGTCCCCATTTCCCCCTGAGCTGGCGTGTTCCCCCAAAATTAAGCATGCTTCCACAATCCACTCCCCGTAGACTCCTGCCAAGGTGCTCTTAAGCGTGTACTTCTCAGATCCAGAATGAAACCAGACATATAAAGCGGTTTGAACTCTTTTGTACACGTCATACTAACCGCAAATGAAAGTGTCTAAGGCTCGCGAATAAGACAAAAATATGCACCGATCGACAATTAACTGCATATCAGGACATTTGTGAGGTCTGTACAATGGCGTTCACAGGATGAAATTTATTGAAGAGTAACCTGGCACTTGAAAAGCCGTACAATGGCTTCTGATCCTGAGTTGAGAGAAACACAAAGTCGGCTCAATCGTTTGTCTCGTCACACCTCCCAGTTTGGTGTGACACATGGAGAAACTTGATATTCGCTCCACTTACCTAGAAAGATGACAAATGCTGTGAAAAGAAATAACTGAACAAAACATACGACTGATACTATCAGTTCAGCTCTGTCTACTCCAAGATAAGTCACAAGCGGAGTTGTGCAAGGTAGAGTTCTCGGGCCTCTTTTGTTTACTATCCACATTGACAGTGTTTCAACTGCTTTGCCACGGGTGACGCCTTTCTATATGCCAACGACCTAAGAGTTGTTTACTCCTGTTATGGCCATGAGCTAGGCGAAACTATGACTACTATTCAGCATGAGCTGGAAAGGCTCTTTTCTTGGTGTGCCGATACCCTCTACAGTTCAAACGTCAAGAAATGCGGATGGATCTGCACTGGTAACAGTAGCCTTGATCTGATGTTTGAAGTATCTGGACAGCAGTTACCAAAACTTAGTTCTGTCTCGGACCTAGGGCCTAGATATTCCAGCAACTCGAATTTCTCTGAGCAG